TCCACCCTGGACACCCTGAAGCGCTGCGACCTTCCTGGGCTCACTGGGTTTTTCACTCCTTTTAAGACTAAAATTACCTTTAGTGGGTTTGGAAACTGTGTCTCAGTTGAGCGGTCCAGTCATGGCCAGTCAGTGTGGGATGGGCTCTCTGGGGTCTCCTGCCCTCCTTCCGGTGCTGCCCATCAGCGTGAGCCCGAGTCCTTCCTGCAGGACATTGTTTCCCTCAGAGCGATCCCTTATCTGCGGTCACTTATCTCCAGGGCTGACCTGCTGACTGGAGAGCTGACCCACTAGTCTGTCTGCCATCTGCAGGGGACAGCCTGCAGCACAGTGGCCCAGAGCCTGCTGGGCCAGCTGACATGGCCATGGACACAAGCTCCCTGGTGACTCAAGAGCAAACAGAGAGGCCCCGTGAGGGGGACAAGGCCCCACGGGAGGTGACCCTGCACTGTAGCTCCCCTTTCTGTGTGAGGACCTGAGGGCCACGGCTTCATACACAGCTGATGCACATGCCAGAGCCAGGCCCCTGCCATCCTGTGGACCCAGGCCGATGGTTGCCTCAGATGTGCTGGAAGGGCACAGTGCAGATGGCCAGTGTCCAGGCAGTGGTGTCTTTGCTCTGAGGCAGGCACACAGGGGATCCAGCTCAGGGGTCAATGCAGAGTCAGACTGCTGGCATGATCACAGAGACACACTGGTGGGGTTGGAGGAAGGAGGGCTGGATCGGAGCAATGACTGACACCAGGTCATTGTGACCTGACTACATGGTCAGACGTGTGGGGGCCTGATGGAGGAACTGCCTCTCAGAGAGATATGTCCCCCAACCAGGCTTGTCATGGAGTGGACACTGCAGTCAGACCACTTGTTTCCTGCAAGCCCAGAGGGGCTGGGGAAGGCCTCTGGGGTAGCTCCAGCTCATACAGAAGCCAGGCTGCGGTGCCCAGTGAAGGGAGCTGTGCCCACGGGCCAGATGCCCGGGGTGAGTGAGGACAGCAGCCCAGGGCAACAAGCACCTGCGCCCCCATGTAACTTGGGGCTTTTCTGTGTTTGTTTAGGGCTTCTGCCCACCCACGCTCTGCTGAACCACAGACCTGAAAACTATGCTGGCCCCTGGCCATCAGTGGTATTCTGTCACCAAGATGTCCCTCCAGTTGGGACCTTGCCTGGTGGGGGTCTGCAAGTCGGGTCTGGAGACACACTTGATCTGGAGTTGGTGTGGCCTTGTGTTCCCTAAAGGGTTTTGTTTTCTCCGACTCAAGTGCAAACCAAGCTGGTCAGAGAGCAGAACAGCTGACCAGGCCTGGCCCGACTGGGTAGCACGGGAGGCCCTGGCATCGGCACTGCTGCCTGCGACCTGACCCACTTTGAACACAGCTTCAGGCATCCACACATCTGACCATGGCCCAGAAAGGTCAGCAAGTACAAGGCCAGCACATGTCAATGCTGGACACTGACCACAGATGGAAACATCAGCTTCTGCCGATTACTGAGAAAGTGGCCTGGGGTGTGGGAGGGCCAGGGTCAGGCTCAGTTCCCCAGTGCTGCACGAGTTCCTGCTCCTGCGGTTGGGCCTGGCCAGCAGGCATGGCACAGGGGAGGGATAACGTGTAAGGAAGGACGGGTGGGTCCTGAGTCAGGGAGAGGCTGGGCAAGAGAGGGGGCAGGTGGCCAGGCTGACCAGTGCAGCTGTGAGAGCTGGGGGGAGAGGATGGGTCAGGGGATGGCACAGGAGCTGAGAATGAGCAGCTTCCAGAATGATCTGGCAGGGAGCACCGAGCGCGCAGGGCTGCACGTGTGACAGGAAGGAGAAGCACTCCGGGTGGTGGCACTGTTGTACCTCCAGCCTCCTATGTCCCCGAGGCCATGACAAGCCCTCTGGGGTCAGAAACCTCTGTGGGGACTGCACCCACCTGAGCAGAGGACAGGCTCTCGGATGTCCCATCAGGACGAGGGTCTCTTCCCAAAAGGCTACGCAGAAAGCTTGCATGTGCCCCCCACGGTCCCTCCCTGTGGACACACTGAGGCCAGGATAAGGCCTGCTCTCTGCACGGGTCACAGCCCACAGAGGGCACTCAGGGTGAATGAGCTGTGCCCCCAGTGTGGGAACTGCACTCCGGTGTCCACTCCCCAGACCACACGCATGCCCTGGTCCTCATTCCTACGGCGAACAGAGACGCAGAATCTTGGATGAGACATCACAAGGAGACCTGGGACAGACACGGTGCGTGCACATGACGTCACATCTGCCTCTGACACACGGAAAGGTGTTGTGCATGTGACGTCACAGCTACGCTTCTTCAGATGTAACCCGAAGAACAAGAGACCCCGAAGCAGACACACAGCGTGCGTGTGACGTCACAGCTGCCCCTCAGGGCAGGGACAATGGCCTTCCGCAGCACAATTCCTCCTGCCAAGGGACATGGGACTCGGGCGGCGCATCTTGTCCCTTGCCAGCTGGTGTGAAAGGATGCCCTGCGTTCCCGTGGAGGAAAACCCACGAGGCCCAGGCAATGGCATGCACAACTCCCTGGGGCTGACCTCAGGAAGTGCAGGGGTGAGAGCTGCTTGAGCCGGAACCCAGGCCATTCACCTGAAGACAAACAAGTGCAGCTGCAGCCTCCTCTGCTGGCTCAGGCCCGTGCTGGCTGAGGTGACAGGTCACAGTGGTGATGGCCATCCCCCACCCTTCCTCGTGTACCTCCTGCTCCTGCCCGGCCACCCACGCCAGCACCAGGATTTGAAATGAGGACATGCAGGGATGTCCCAGGAAGGCAGCCGATGGAGTGATGGGATGAACTCTGGCTCACTGACATACCTGTGGTAGCTGCTGGAACCCACAGGGCCAAGGGTTTTGGGCTGAGGTTTTTCTCTGGAAGGAGGGAAACGGCTTGGGAAGGGATCGTGTGGCCACAGGAAGTAAGAAGATGACGGAGCCATCTCCTGTCCAGGGACAAGCACGCAGCCCTCACAGTGGGGACATGTGTGAGTGAGGGGTCAAGCTGATGCTCCCTGGAGGGCTGCCTGTGATGCCAAGGGAGGGGCATTTGAGGATCAGAGGGAGGGACCGTGGTGGTCATGAAAGAAGGGTATTCACACTGGGTGTGAGGTAGCGAGGCAGCCCCACTGCCGTCTGACCCCACTAGCACTTGACATTATCCCTCAATGAGTGCCACTCTGGGAGGCCATGAAATCTTAGTGTCAGCCCTGAGGACTCTGGCCCTCATCACTTCAGTGTTGCTCTGCCCACCCCACTCCTGGGCCCGTGCTTCCTATGTGTGTGTACAGGACTCTGAGTCACAGAAGTGGCCATGGCCAAGACCACTCCCCAAGGACGGGCCACTGCGAGTTGCCAACGTCCCTGGCAGGCTGCAGGCACAGTAGGGGAGGCAGTGGTTTTCAAGAGGCACCTGACATTCTTGTCATCAGCCCTGCATGGCCTGGGCACCCTGGTCTACAGACACTGGTGTGAGTACTCAGGGCAGCGTCCCCACCTCCATGAGCCTGTACTCCCTTCTTTACAGAGGGTCTTTGCCCTCCTGAGCGGGCAGTAGGCAAGGGGCAGGGCGGTGGCCCAGGCCAGGTTGTCCTGTGGTAACCTGTGCACCCTACTAACAGCAGGAGGGGGCAGGGTAGTGGCCTTTGCGGAAGGTGTGTGGGGGCAGGGCACACTTCCTCGCTTTGTTCTGAGCTCCAGGAAGGAGAAAGGTCTGCTTTGTGTGCTTTTGGCCAAGGTTAGCTTTCATTCTGAGAGCAGGAGATTGTGTTGGCGCAGCGGACACTGAGTGGCTGGTTCCCCAGAGAGAAGAGATGCTGATGAAGACTGTAGCTGTAAGGGACAGGCGCTCTGTCATTATTCCAACCACCCACTTCCCATTTAGACCTGGGATACATGGCCCCCAGCAGGCTTCCCGTGACTTCCTTGACCCAGTCAAAGGCCTGAACTGCCTCGCAGGTCCCCTCAGGGCATTAAGACTCCTGAGGTTACAGTGGACTAACGAGCTTCGCCTGCCATGCCACAACATCCAGGGCACATTGGAGCACCAAGCAGAGAGCACTCCTGTACCTCTGCACCCTGTCAGGAGCACCGTGTGGCTCTGCACCCCGTCCCCTCATTATCCTGCTCTGAGATCACTAGGAACATCACATGGCTCTGCACCTCGTCCCCTCGCCCCTCTGCTCTGGGATCTCCAGGAGCACCATGCGGCTCTGCACCCTGTCACCTCGTCCCCTCGCCCCCCCCCCCCCCCCCCTCATTATCCTGCCCCGGGATCACTAGGAACATCACATGGCTCTGTACAGTCCCTCTTTAGAGGCAGCCTATCCACTGGGCTCAGCTCTCCACCTGCCACTATGAGGCTGTCACTGGAGCTCCATGAAGTCCCACATAGTCCATGATGGACACAGACACCTCAGGGTCACTCAGAACATGTCTACTGAGTAATGGACAAAAGTGGGACCAGTGACTACAATCGGACCATGTTTTCTGGTGGCGGTGAGTTTAAGTACCTTGGCCTTGCACTGTAGGGGTCAGGAAGAGGAACTCCACATCAAGCTATGAGATTCGAGAACTCAGCACCACGGTGGGGGAAACCCTGAGACTCTGACTGTCCCTGCACCTGGCCCTCCCTGACGGTAGTTTGCCTCATTTTTTGTAGAGGCACACCTGTGAGAAGTGAGGTGATGAGAGTGGTGAGGTGACACGGTGGGGACAGAGGCGGATGCTTATGGTGCTGTGACAACACGGTGCTGTGACAACACGGTGCTGTGTTGAGGGGGCAAGGCTGGTGGGGGCGAACCTAGCGATGAGGGTTAATGATGGAGCGCTGAGGGGAGATGACATGGTGAAGAGGGGACATGGGAGGCAGAGTTTGTCCTGTGCTCACATATGGGGGGAGACCCTTTCTGGAGCCTCTCTCCGCCAAAGGGCAGGCTCTCCCGGCACATGCTAACTCCTCCTGTCTCCCGCAGGACGCTGCATAAAGACCCCGGGACTGTGCGCCATGTGGGGCTGCAACGTGCCCAATGGGACTGTGGGCAGCGCGGACCTGCCACTGTGCCGGGACCTGCCGCTGGCCCTTTGGGCGCTCTCGCTGCTCTACCTGCTGGTGGGCCTGCCCCTGGGCTTGGGCTACAACGCGCTGCTGGTGCTGGCCAATCTGCACAGCCGGCGCAGCATGAGTATGCCTGACGTCTACTTTGTTAACATGGCTGTGGCGGGGCTGGTGCTGAGTGCCCTGGCGCCCGCCTACCTGCTGGGGCCGGCGCATGCGCGCTGGGCACTGTGGCGGCCGAGCAGCGAGGCCCAGGTGGCGCTGCTGAGCCTGTTCCACGTGTCCGCCCTGGTGAGCATGTACTCGGCCGCCCTGCTCAGCCTGGACTGCTACATCGAGCGCGCACTGCCTCGCACCTACATGTCCAGCGTCTACAACACCCGCCACGTGTGTGGCTTCGTCTGGGGCGGAGCGCTGCTCACCAGCTTCTCTTCACTACTCTTCCACATCTGCAGCCACGTATCCACGCGCCTCGCCGAGTGCGCAGAGATGCGCAGCACGCAGGCCGCCGACGCCATCATGGTGCTGGTGGGCTACGTGGTGCCCGCCTTGGCTTCCCTGTACGCACTGGCGCTCATTGCCCGGCTACGCAAGGAGAACACGCCGCTCAGCCGTGGTGACGTGGGCTGGCTGGACCCCACTGCCCACCGGCTGCTGGGGACCACCGTGGCAACACAGCTGGGGCTCTGGACACCGTACTACCTGACCCTCCTGGGGCAGGCCCTGGTGGCTGCGCGGGGAAGGCCTGTGGAGGAGCAATACGCGGGGGTCCTGCCCCTCGCCAGAGACCTTGCCCGGCTCCTGGCCTTCTCCAGCAGCTCGGTGACGCCACTGCTTTACCGCCACATGGACAGGAGTTTCCCCAGCAAGCTCCGCCGGCTGGCCAAGAGGCTGCGGTGTGGGTCACAACACTGCATTCACGACCAGGTGGGCCAGCAGCAAGTAGCGGCCTAGGCAGAGGCGTTCTCAAGCCAGCGGACTCGGGATGTGGAGAAGAAGAGGACATGAGTGGAACCCACACTGGTCACCTTGGGCAGCTCTGGCCCTGCCCCCAGAAAGACGGGAACCTATGCGAGCCCACCACAGGGCTGGCTGCTCAACGCTTGCATCCTGGAAAAGGCCCAGCCAGGGCCGAGGCCATGTGCCTGACATACAAATCAATCAGCTTGTCCTGGATGGCCCTTCGCTAGGCTGTGTGCCTACCCTTCCTCCGTACCCCTCAGGTCCAGCCCCTGGATGTGCCCCCATCCGGCCTTCTCCCGGGGCGGCCACCAAATGAAGTGACAAGACCTCAAGTCAGTATTTATGCCTCGCTTGTCAGTATTGTTCAAATACTTGATGGCCCCTTGTTTCAGTTGCTTTATGCAAAGATGTATCTGAGAGGTAAATTACTGAGTATTAAAAGGAAGGGGAACACAGACGCTTGGCCCACAGGGTGGTGTGGTGACCTCCAGGCCCATGCTACCTGCAGAGTGCTGGGCCAGGCAGCTGCCGGTGAACACACATGGCCACTGCTCCCTGTGGGGGGGTCTCAGCAGTGGGATCGTAACGCCGAAGTGGGGGTCTGCACCCTGCTCCCACTGCCACGGAGCGGATTCTGAATCACAGCCACACTGTGGGGTTGCAATGGTGTGAACCTCACAGGGGGTCTAGAAGCTTAACCTCACAGCACTGTTAAGAGCACAGCTTGAGTATTCCAGAAAGAATAAACCCCAACCAGGTCACTCCGGTGCAATGGCTTCAGACCACCACAACCCACAGAGCAGAGCACCGGCCGAGTTATCAGCACTGCAGCCACTACAGAAGCAGGCTGCCTCATCCTTCCCTTGGGACGTGGTGTGTGGGTTTGAACCATAAACCTCTGGTTAGCAGCTGAGTGCTTTAACCACCATACCACCAGGGTTCTTTCTCTGTTCTTTCTATACCAGCCTTCAAAGTGTGCTGGGAGGAAGGGCCACTGAGGGGCAGGGACAGGTACCTGGGCTGGTCACCAGCCCATGTGGTGAGAGCATACACCAGGTGTCCAGAGTGGGGCTACTGCACACAGCAGTGTGGGCCGTCCAGTGAATGGAGGTTAGGTCCATGAGAGGGAGGAGGGCCTGCTGTGTCCATATCACACTACACACCACCTCACACTCCATTACACCTCACCATACCACACCTCCACATCCACCACCTCACCCCAATACACCTCCCTACACCACACCTCACCATACAACACCTCCCCACACCACACCTCCCCACAGCACACCTCCCCATCTCACACCCCATTACACCTCCCCACACCTCAGAGCCCTGGCGTTGTCCTCCTGCTCTTGTACAAGGGCTCTGACTCAGAGCAGGCAGGATTATGGGGCCAGGCAGCGGGCATCCCACCCCATCATCACCCACTTGAGGACTCATGTTTGCCAAGCCGTGCGGCAGTAATCCCCCGGATTCCATTCCTGCCACAGTGCACGGCGAGAGCGACAAGGACTGCCTCTAATTCTCTCCTGGACAGGCCTGAGCCCAGCTCATCTACAGATCTTAGCTGGGAAGCCACTACTGCCTGACGAGAAAGCCTGGGGCAGCAGGCTCAACGACTGCTCCAAATAAAAGGGCCTTTTTCCTGCCCACACTTCCTGCCATTCTGTGCTGGGCCGGAGTGCGCCTGGAGGGCTTGGTTCCTGGGAACAGCCCGGGGGAGGCAGCAGGCCTTCTGTGCCTCAGAATTCATCATGCAAATTTTCTTCCCCAACAAATGAGTGTTTTCAGTCACCTCAAATATGTGAGAAAGGTGGACAAGAGAAGTCCGGGAGGACGGATGACTTTGAACAGCAGTGTTGGAGAAGAAGATGGAATATAGCAGGAGCTGTCTTAGGAGAAGGGCTGTCAGGGTGCTCCTTAAAGGGAGGACAGGGAGATTGGGCCTCACACACTCTGATCATGTTGACAGGAGTGACCAGTCCCTAGAGAAGGATGTCAGACTGAGTAGAATGTAAGAGAGGAAGATGGACTGGTACAGGGACTCCACACGGCTCAAGCGCTGTGGAACTGACCACACAACCCGCGAGCACACAGTGACAGCGTTCTTATGGCTTCAGATACAAGGGACGCTCCACAGTCACTTCCCTGTCCCCATGTCACGCACAGGCCTGCACACACAACGGTGAGGCTGCACCACGGACGTCCGCCAGCAGGTGTCCTCGCACACCCCGACCCTGCCTGAGCCCTCTAGTCCTGTGGGTCTAGCAGAGGAGACGGTGGAGGTTCGCACCAGTCACGTGACTGGGGGTCCTTGCCGTGTGTTCACTGCCCCTTACCAGATGCCTTACCTTGGGGTGTCCTGCAACTGTCCTGAGGCCAGTCTGGGCCTACTGTGGACATGAGCCCTCACTGCAGGCTCCTGACTCAAATGCCCCTCACTGCCATGCTCTTAGCAACAAAAAGACCCACTCCGGCCACATAACCAGCTGTCACGAAGCTTTCCACAGAGGCCTGAAACACCTCAGAAAGCAGCCTGTTCACCCTGTTTCTGTCAGTTGCTTGGCACATGTATTTCAGTTAAGTTTTTGCCTGAAGCAATACAAGTACATGAATACAGGCACGCACACCTGAGCATAGCCTAAGTAGGCACAGGCTTGCCCCCTTTGTGGCAGAACATGTATTTCTACAAGACTGTGCATGAAGTAACAAACACATGCACGTTCACGTGTGTACACCAGTACTCACGCACATACACACACACGTGCACACCAGCACATGCACACCCACGTGTGCACACCAGCACATGCACATACATGCTCACGCGTGCACACCAGCACATGCACATACATGCTCACGCGTGCACACCAGCACATGCACATACACGCTCACATGTGCACACCAGCATGTGCACACACGCACACTCAGGGAGTATCTCTCATGAGGAGCCGAGCTCCTGGAAGCACTGGCACATGTGTCAGTCTCAGGGAGAGGTCATCCGGAGCTGCATCCCTGAAACCACCCTGGTCACAGGCAGGGTTGTGGCTCGAGGTCCCTGCTTTTCCGCAGGGATCCCCCAGTCCCTGTGCGTCCTGAAGACTTGGGAGGCAGCAGGGTCCCGCGCTGCATGAAGGCTTTCGGCACCTCGTGCAGAGCCAAGTTGTGGTTCTCTCCTCCCTGGGTGCTGAACAGCCAGCACGCCTGTGAAGGTGATCAGTATGCTCCAGCCAGTGCTGGACACAGGGCCCCAGGCCCCAGTGCCCCACCGCAGTGTACATCTGAGCACTGTTGGGTCACATGGCTGAGGCTGGAGCACACGTGCACACACTTTCTCCCGCCCACTCTCACCTACACTTATATGCACACAATCTCACACACATGCTCTCGCACACACTTTTACACACATGTACACACACATCCATCTCTTCACATAAGCTCATGTTCCAATCTCCCCATGCACACACACACACGCATTCTCAGACACACAGTCTCCTGTGCCAGCGACGATGCAGTACCAGGCACTGGAGGTGCTGTGTGAGGGGCAGAGCCGGCCACCTGGGTGAGACAGACCTTCACCCACGTGCACAGAGTACCCACCGTGGCCCCAACGGCCAGGTGACACCTATGCTGTGCAGGCCTGCACCCCCTGCCCCCCGCTGGCCTTCAGAAGTGCGTCACCTGGCCTTCCTGGTCAGCACTGCCCTGTCCACAGGCCCCACTGGCCTTGCTCAGCCTCCCAGCATCAATGGCCTCTGCTATGGGGGCTGTGGGCAGAGACCCTAGGCTGGGGCAGAACTGGCTGGGCACTGCTGTCTCAGAAAGGCCACTTGGGAGGGCCAGGCAGTCTTCCCTAGCTGCAGGGTGGGGTTTCAGGTTCTATTTTAGTTTGCAGATGCAGCCCGCCTGTGGGAGGGGCGGCTGTGGACTCCTGACAGGAAAACCACAGTACTTGGCCTTGCCTGGGCCTCACTGTGCTGCGCTGGCCTCACTCTGCTGTGTGCTGCCCGCTAGAGCCCAGGTTTGCTCAGAGCCAGTGAGGAAGGGAATCGAGAGCACCGCTGCGCCCTCCTCTCGGAGCAGCATCCACAGGTGAGTGCCCTCTGCCGGGGGACCCCCACAGTGCGGCCAAGTCAGGGAGGTGGGGGTGGGGTGCTGCTCTCGAAAACCAAAGCTCCTTCACCCACGGGTGGGCGCCATACAAACAGGAGCCTACCATCATGCCCGAATGACCACGCAGCTGTCAGCCCATTAGAGAAGTACTGTCCCCAGGGTGGAGGGACAGGCCCAGTCCCACCGGAAAGCGTTGGGTGCTGATGGCCATGTCAGAGAAGCAGCACTGTCCCCAGGGTGGAGGGACAGGCCACGTCAGAGAAACACCTCCTTTGGGCTGGGCCCAGGCCACAGCTGGCCAGCTCAGGATTGGGGGACACAAGGAGTGTTTCACAGCAGGTACATCCCCAAGGACCTGGGGGAATAAGGATCCTCCAGCAGTGGGGGGTGGGGAGCGACAGCCAAGAGAGCAAAGCGGAAGGACTGGTGGCCTGGAAGCTGCCCAGCCCCAGCCCCCCTTGCCCCCACCAGGCGCAGAGTGTGATCTGTCCAGGGTTCAGGGGGAGAAAGAGAGGCAGATTCTGCCTTAAGAGATACAGCCACCACTCAGTGAGGGCAAGACGGTCCCCGTGAGGGTTCACAGCTTCGGAACCAGACTGGAGCCGGACCGAGAGGCTGGGCAGGCTGTAACTGCCTGGCCAGCTGTCGCTCAGGAATCCAGAGATCACAGGAGATGGCGCTCTGGGCCTGCGTGTCCCTCCTCCCCTCCCTGGCCTCCTCAATCCTATGGTGGGTGGGGGGAGGCTCCTGGAGCCCACAGCCATGGGGGCTGACCTGCCCCACTGTGCTGGGGACCAGGGCCTTGCCCGACAGGGTCACAGCCCCTTACCACAAACTTCCTGGAGAGGGACTGACCACCACTCCCTGTGCCCCAGGCCCAGGGAGAGGAAAAGAACACCCCTTGGCAGTGCTACATAGTGTGGGCACATGTGCTAGAGGAGAAGTGTCCCCACACCTGCCCTAGTGTCCATCTGCGCAGGAAGCAGCCATTGTGAAAGGTGTGTGGGTGCGGAGATCCAAGAGAGGCTCCAGCAGAAGAGGCCACCAGGGCTACCACCGGCTCCACTCAGTGGCCGGGGACAGAGACAGGCCGTGGGCTTCCCGAGGCTGGGAATCTGTATGGAAGCCAGTGGCCTCAGCTTTCCCCTTCTGAGTGGCTGGTGGCTTCAAACTGCCCACCTTTGGGTTAGATGCCACCAGGGCTCAAGAAAAACCCTTTATCCAGCTATGCTTGTGTGATTTTTCCCAGCACCCAAAATAAAGGCGTTTTAACCATTTTGGGATGTGAACTGGGTAAGGGAGGGATGGGGTCGCCCATTCTGATGGCACCTCCCCACCTACAGCCACTCCAAAAAGCAGCTGGAGCAAATGGAGTCATATGTATGCTGTCCCTGCACCCCACCACACATCACCCAACAGCCGCCCAAGGCCAGACCCCACAAACCCCACCTCCCACGAATGGATGAGCTGGACTGTATGTGACCACAAACCACAATAGCCCCGAGTGCAGGACCAGCATTCACCTGGTGGATAGGCCCACAGAGTCCCCAAAGGGAGGCCAGGCACGATAATTCACAGGCTAAGTCTGGAGTCCTGTAGGAACCAAGGACTGAAATAGAAATAGTGTCAGAGACAAGAGCAAAGGCTTGAGAGCGCAGCCTGCCAGAGTGAGGGGTGGCCATTCGGGGGATACAGGACAGAGAAAGAGAGGCCGTCACTTGGTGAACACAGGACAGAGAGTGAGGAGCAGCCATTCAGGGGCCACAGGACACAGAGAGAGGAGGACACAAGACAGAGAGGGGCGGCCATTTGGGGGACACAGGACAGAGAGTGAGGGGTGGCCACTTGGAGGAACACAGGATAGAGTCGGGCTGTGTTCTGGAAGGATGCTGGGTCACAACTGTCAGGTAAGGATCCCGCCCAGTTGCTATGTCCTCCACACTTAACCATCACAAGTGGACACTGAGGGAACAGTTTGTGTACATGACGGGACCCAACAGCACCGCTCAGGAGACAGGCTGAGACAGCACTGGCGTCCAGAGCCACAGGACGTGCACTGGCCTGCACGCCCCTTACAGGCCTAGTGTGGACGTCATGTCACGTCCCCCATCATGTGCCTCATGGACCCCGCAGAGACAGAGGAGCCTGGCCTCTGAGGTGCAGACAGACGGCCATGTGTGGCACTCTGTGGATGCCCGGGAGAGGGGACTCCCTCAGATGGTAGAGTGCAGCAGGGACTCACGTGCTCAGGCAGGGAAGCCTATTGCATCGTCCTCGGCACTGTGACAGGTGACAGCCAGGTGAACAGAGACCACGTAGAAATGTGGGACCCGGTGCAGGGAAGGGGAGGGAAGGGCTCCCCAAGCAACCCCTGAGCCAGGGTCCTGGGAGACGCTTTCCCTTGCTCCCAGTGCCTCTGCAGGGCAGAGCAGAGCTGCCCGGGTGGCTGCAGGCCGGCGTCTCTAGAGAAGCAGAAAACAGCTGGACGCTTCAAAACACCCACCTTTGGGTTAGCGGCACAGCGCTTTTACCATCGTGCCACCAGGACCCCACCACTCGGGTCTCCCACCTCTCACTCTGGGAAGGAGCCAGTGAGTTGAGGACCAGCTTCTACAAGTACCTGAAAGCATCATTTCATTTTAAAAAGCATTTTGAATCGTGCTCTCGTGGAGAGCTGGCATGTGCACTCTCCTCCCACTGGCTTGTTTGCACATGAAGTGTCCCAGGACCCAGCGACATCGCAAGGGCCATTTAAGGCCTGGAGTCCAGAGCTGTGTGAGAGCAGAGCCTCAGGCTCCAGCCAGGCACTCCCGGGGGACCCCAGCACAGACCTTGGCAGCTCTGACAGACAGTCCCAGAAGCCCCCGGTTCTTGGCCCAGGGCTGGCCACTAAAACAAAGCTGGGTCTGAGTGGATGGATGTCCTTCACCAGAAGCCCAGTCATGAATCCAGACCTAGCGGGAATGGAGCGCGATGGTGACTGTGGGCAGGAAGGACGCTTGGCCCAAACACCTCACTGCTGTGCCAGGCAAACCTGGGCACCAAGGGCCTTGGGGGTCAGGCTCCAAGCTGCTGGGTCAGTGGTGGAGCTGGGGCCTGCTGCTCGGGCCCCAGGCTGGAGGTGGTTCTGGGATTGACCACAGGCCCACCCACATGGGCAAAGGGGCTCCCTCCCTCAGCAGGGCCAGCGGACATTGCTGACCGACACAGGGGCAGCAGAAGTCCATTTCTCTTATCGGGCTCAGGGGCCAAGGCACCTTAGCCAACCTCAGATCGCAAACAGCTGCCCAGCGCCCAGGAGGCCTCAGGATGGCCATGCCACAGGCCCCAGCCCTTCACACCACACCACACACAGACACGGCAGTGCCAGGCAGGCTGGCTGAAGTCACAAGGCTTCCTTCCCCAGTGGGCTGTCCCCTAGGCCCTGGTGACCCACAAGCACGGCACTGTGACTCAATAGGTTGAGACACCCCTGGAGGACATATGGGTTCCTCTGTCGACCTGGGCCTGTGGAGGGAAGGCAGGGCAAGGAGCAGAACCGGTCACCTATGCCCACCAGCTGATGTCACATAGGCTCATGAGCCCTTCTGTGAAGGGGTGGGCAGGGGCCACATGGTCACCCCATTTCACAGTACAGGCAGTGAAGTTGGGGTCAGCCCAGGATCCTGAAGGAAGGATTGTGTAGACAGGGTCTCAGAAGGCATGTGCCCCATGGAGCCCCTGCACATCCAGCAGGGACCCCAGGGCAGCCCTCAGTGAGGGTGAGGGTGAAATGGACTGTCTTTGCAGGGGCAGAGCCTGCTTTCAAAGCCCTGAGTGTTTAGGCTGCAGGGCCCTGGACTGGTGTCCCCACCCGCCAGCATTCTTTAGTCTTTGTCACTGAGAACTTCATGCTAACTCCAGGTCCATCTGCTCAAGTTCAACAGCCAACAACATCCTGCTTAGAGGACCAGACTCGTAAGAAGGCTGGACATCAGGTTGATGGATTATGGGGTGGACGCACCGCTCTCAGAGTGGGAGAGGCTGGCCTGAATACCCTGGCAGGAAATGGGCATCTCCTGGCTGGCAGGTGTCAGAGACAGAGAGAACCTCTCGAAAGAAGACAATAAGCTCCAACTTTGGAAACAAAGGAGCATTTTGAGAACAGATCGGCCTAGCCGAGGAGGACATAGCTGGCCTGCAGTGGGGTTCTGTGACAAAGTCGGCAGGGTCCCGGTGGGGTTGGAGAGACACTGTGGAGAGGCACACCATAGAGGGCATTAGTGTGAGGCGGCAGGCTGCTGGCTCGAGGAGGATAAAACCCCGAGCAGGACCACGCAGCATCACTCCACCTTCCTCACGTGTAACTGGTGTGTGGATGCTGAAAGCATGGCCAGCAGCCACCAGGTGGGCTGGCGGGAAGGGGCTGTATGTGGGCATGAAACATGGGAACAACGCTTCTGGATTCCAGCCTCACGGGATGCCGCTATCTTCAGACACGCAAACAGGAAGACTCACTACCAGACAGCACTCAAGGCTCCTCACTGAAGAGAATCCTTGGAAACATTTGGGCCAGAAAATGACGCTCATCACAAAAGCTGGACTGAGAAGAGGAGGAAAGGGTGGGGGAAGTGGTAGACACAAGGGAAAGTGGTGCCCCATGCACCCCACCCTGTCAGGCAGCATCGCCGTTGGGTTTCGAGGCTGTAAATCACTCTGGCCAGACACTGACCATCTATTCCCCTGAGGTAACAGCAAGACTGCCTCGTCTGTGTCTATTCCTCAACCCCAAGAACCTCCACCTGCCTTCCCAGGCAGCAGGGATGAGTGAGCACCCCCTCCTTAGGCTCTGTGTGGTTTTGGGAGTGGTTAAAATGCTGGGGTGCTAACTGAAAGCTGGGCTGTTTGAACCTACTAGCTACTTCAGGGGAAAAAGATGGGGCTGCTCTGTTCTGCAGGTTGCTGAGAGCCACACCAATACCAGCAGGAGGCCTGAACTGAGACTTTTAGCTCTGGTGGTGAAGTATGTTATGTTCTGTACTGCTAACCAAAAAGTTCAGCAGTTCAAATCCACCAGCCACTCCATGGAAGAAAGACAGGTGGTCTCCTCAGGGGGAAAAAAAAAGTCCAACCTCAGAAACCTGATGAGCTCAAGTCCAGAGATGGATTTTGGTTTCTGGAAGTGCTGTTGATGTGTTCTGTCAAGTTGGAACACTCCAGTAGGTGACCCTCCAGTAAGTTTTCATAGGCAATTAATCGCACAAGAGGAGAATGCCCATCTTTTGCTCACAGAGGAGCTGGTGGATTTGAACCACATACCTTTATGACAGCAGCACAATTCCTTACCACTAAGCCACTAGCACCCCCTTTCTGACTGTGTAGGATGATGCTTCTCAGAATAAGGAGCCACAACTGAAGGATGGGTCAGTTCTGATTTAGAGTCTCAAGTCCTGGGCACCTACTTCTCCACTGGAGGTCTTTAAAGCCAGAAGGATGCTGGAGAGACCACCTCCCAGCCAGGACCCCACTGCCCAGAGTCTAACCACAGCCAGGCAGGGCCCCACTCCCCTCGAGTTCAGGCCCAGCCAGGCAGGGCCCATTCCTTGCAGTGCTTCCTTCAGGTTTCTACCAGTTCCAGGTTTCTCTCTTATAGTCCTTCCCTGAGCCCTGCAGTGGCCCGTGGTGTGTGCTTTCTTGCAGGTCTCTGCTGGTCCTATGTCTGCCCACAACACATCGTGGGTGCGGTACCCCAGCCTTGTGTCCCCCGATGTGGAAGCGGTCATTGCTGCTCAAAGCATCATCTCGAGGCTCACGCAGGCCTACCTGGGGCTGCTCCTGCCCCTGGGCGCGGCGGCAGGGACATTCAGCATGACCACCTTGCTCCGAGGGCGTGCCCAGCTTGGAAGCCTGGGGGCACTCCTCCTGGACCTCATCATCACAAACATGCTGGTGGCCCTGCTGTCCTTAACGGCCATCCCCAGGCCTGACTACCTGTCCACTACCAACCTGCTCTGCGGGACCCTCGCCTTCTGTGCCAACTTCTGCTACTTCAATGCCCAGTATCTGCAGGGGGCCCTGGCCTTGGCCTTCTTGCTGCCTGGCTCCTTGCCCTGGCTGCCCAAAGTGACCAAGGGGCCTCTGAGGATGGCTCTGGCCCTGATGGCTATCCTGGGCTGTGCTCTCTGCAGCTCGCTGGGGACTGTGGCCCTGCTGGGCACCTCTGGAGAGCTGCACAAATCCACCCACTGCCAGCTGGATCCACTGACCACCTGGCCTGAATATGAGGTGCTGAAGTTCAGCCTGGGCTTTGCGCTGACCCTCCTTCTGGAGCTGACGTTTTGCGTTCTGATCTGCACCACACGGGCCTGGCAGGGCACCGAGACCTGGCGAGGCATGGCCTCAGCCTCACCCGCTGTGCTGGCCATCGCACTGACGGGCTTTGCCTGCCGGGTCTTCTACAATGCCATGCTGCTCCACAGGGCCAGCCTGAAGCTGTCGGGGACCCTGGGTTCACCCCAGGATGAGCTGCTCATGGATGCTGCTGAGCTAGTCCTGTTCGGGGAGAGCTGCGTGACTTCACTGGAGACTCTGCTCCTCCACCAGCCCTGCAGGCACGCCCTGCTGAGGGTCATGCAGAACCTGGCCCAGAGCTGCCGTAGCCGAGCGGCCCCCCAGAGCAGTTCTGTAGAGAGGGCAGGGAGCCAGGGCTGAGGGCAGCTGTTAGACACTCGTAGGCCGGTGCCCCAGCTGAGCCAAGTCCCCTCCTTTATGCCTTCCACTCTACTCCCTGGCCAAGCCTCACTCCCCAAGCCTAGCCTCACAACCTCCTCTCCGCTGAGTCGCATGTCCCCATGCCCCCCAGCCTAGCTTCGTGATCCCACTCCACACACCCCCGCCCCCTTAAACTCCCAAATCTGGCCGAGCTTCCCTTCGCCCACCCTGGCCTAGCCTCCTGCCCTCAGCCTGAACTCAGCCTCTGACCCTGCCTCTCCACTGGGCCTCACACACATCTGCCCGGCTCAGATCAGCGGCTGCAGGGTGCTCTTCAGCCCCTGGGGTTCACACTGCTCACACAAAAGCTCCAAGATGCTCAGCCTGACGGAGACACACCAAGTCAGAGATGCAGCTGGACCCCCGTTAATCCACACAAGATCCACGCCTGGCATACATCTGGTCCCTGAAATCATGCCTAGTTCGCAGAGATCCACACCTGACACACACCCAGTCCCCATGGGATCCATGCCTACTCCTAGATGGAAATTTCCCAGTTGGTGGTAGAGGTGGGTCCACGGCCTTGACCACAACCAAATGCCAACCCCCTGAAAATACTCACATACCTGCTGCCAGCACCCCTGGGGGCCAGAAAGGAAACCTTCCCGGGGCAGGCTGCCTCACCCTCCCAGCAAGCAGCTTATGGACTTAACTGCCCACCTACCAGTTAGCAACGCAATACCAGATCCACTGTGCCACCAAGGCTCTTCAGAAGAGGGGCTGTGCCTTGGCTCTAAGGCATGATTGATTCAAACACACACTGGGTTACAGAAATCACAGCCTGTCACTTATGTGAATAGTGAACACAGCACTGTGTCCGTCTCGGGAGCCTTGGTGTGCATGTGAGAAGGGACGCTGTCAGTTCTGGGGGACAGTGGATGCTCGTGGGGTCCAGATGCGTCCCCCCGGACAGGCTTCAGAAGACCTTGGCTGGCCACGCACTTCACACGGCGAAGCCTGTAGATGTTGCAGTGAGCGTCACTGGTGCGGTTCTTCCAGCGGGCGCCCCTCTGGCTGCACCCCTTCATCCATCCTTATGTCAAGCCTTTCATCAAGCAGCTGTGCCCCGGATGACAGGACAACCTCCACACGAGCTGGGAACCAGGGAGGACCCCTGGTAGCACTATACTTAGAATACTTGGCTGCTACTCAGAAGATGCTGCTCTGAAGAAGCAAGGTTCCCAGCCTGTCCTCAGGTCACTAGGGTCACTCTGAGAAGGCTGGAGGCCGACCCTAACCCACGTGTGGCTGGGGCATCTGCACACTAACCAGTCACCAGCTGGCCCTCTGGGAAGAGGGCTCACTAGGCTCAAAGGCACACAGGGCCCCAGCCACAGCCTGGGAGAGCCCCGCAGAACCCAGCACAGCCCCGCACAGCACCACACAGCCTGGCAGAGCCCCACAGAGCCTGGCACAACACCACAGAGGCTGGCACAGCACCGCGCAGCCCGGCAGAGCCCGCAGAGCCCAGTAGAGTCCCGCACAGCCTTCTGATCCCGCACAGTGGCCCACACCACTGCACTGCAGTAAAGCCAGCCATGCAGGTGTCCTGGTTTCCCGTGCCCGTGCACGCATGCTCACACTGGGCTGCACGTGCTCCCCCGGGCCTGGTGGTACAGTGGCGTGTGTGCTGAGCTGCTCCCCCCAAGGCCATGGCTTGCCAGCCGCAGGGGACTGGTGTGCTCGGGGAGTCTAGCAGCTGGGCAGCAGCAGTAGGATGGAAAAGCTGGAAACAGCTGAGTGCCCAGGATGTGACATTAAGGCAAGAAGTGAGCACAGGCTCCCCGTCACAAAGCCTCTGTCTGTGTCTCTGTGAAGTGCTGCTGGGCACGACATGCTTACACTACAACTTGGGCTTCATAGCTCCCCAGATACACAGCACCAGAGAGGCACAGCTCTGAGGAGGAAGAAACTGTGAGGTCATCAAGATGCCCCCACACCTCAGCCACGAGCCCCTGTGGGCCTCGTGGGGATGGAGTCGGTGCAGCATGGCCCTGTGGTCCATCTCCCATCCCTGTCTCCAGCCACTGCCCCTCACCACGCCCAGTCTGGACACATACTACTCCTGGACTTTTCTAAACAAGCCAAGGGAATGTTCTAGAGCCAACAGATGTTCGGGTAGGGACAGGACATTTTCACCCACTAGCTCCCTGTGACTTGACTTTCAGGCAAATAGGCAGGTCCACAAAGTGACCAATCCCACCAGGGCATGCCAGAGAACAACCAACTGCACGAGGCCCAAGGGTACCATCGATGAGGAGAATGCTTCGCAGGAAACAAGACACTCAGGGAGGCAGTGGGCAGGTGTGACCTGCTGAATGGGAACCCTGCCTGCTCTAAAACTCTCACTTAAAACACAATAAAAGGTTAATAATAACATGACCACTCTTAAAAAAGGGCATTAATTGAAAGGCAAATCCAGAGCCAATAGGGGAAGGGCGCAGCAATGACCCCCCTTCGCAACCTGCCGGGGTTCCCTGGACACATGTGGCCGTCTCCTGAGACAGGGGTGGGCAAGGACCCAGTCTTACACCTCGTGTTCCACTATAAAAGGCCCCTGCCAGAGCCCCTCCCCAGGATGACTACAGGCGCCAGGCCTGTCCACACACACTCTGGGCAACCTGGCGGAGTCTTGGCCGCAGTGGCCACTCCCAGAATTCCAGCAATGGTCAGGGAAGCACTTGGCAGCGGTGAGGGACCACCATCTGACATCTGCACCCCTAGGGCTGCCAGAGCGCCACTAGGGCTGTAAACCCACCACATGTGAGCTCGGAATCAGGAAGGTGGCCCTCACGCCCAGGGCGCCCAGACACTTCACATTCCTTGTTACGATGGAACAAGTTGGAAGATAAGCTTGCTGGTGATCGATTTTCTCTAGAAAGCACCTCAGTGTGAACTTGGCACTTTACAGCCTACGTGCACACTCACACACACAGAGATAACTTTCCTCCATAATCAGCTGGTGTGTGTTCAGCATGCTACATCCTGTGTGTGTACACAGAGACCCCCATAGTCAGTGTGCACTCAGCATACCACACCCTGTGTCTGTACACACATAGAGATGCACCCACACACAATTAGTGTGTACTCAGCACTCTATGGCCTGTGTGCACTGACACTCACCTCCCAAATCAGTATATGGTCAACACTGTATAGACTGTATACACTGACACCCAGACACACCTACAATCAGACAGTGTGTTCTCAGCATTCTATAGACTGCATGCACACTCATGTAGAGAAACACACACACATACACTGACGTGTGTGTACTCTCACATACACGTATTAACTCTGTGCACACTGACACATAAGCACACACAGATGCGCTCACACACGTACACGTACACACACATGCACACACTGTGTGCACAACACAGTCACACTCTCACATACACTGGCACAGATCACACATGCACACACACTGCTATACCTGACCTCTCCTAGGACAGAGACAAGGGGCCGGGGAGTCCCTGGCAGGTGTCCCAGGTGCGTGAGGGGCTCACCCTGTGACTGCTCTGACAGCCTGCTGCACGGAGGGGGCAATGAGGCTCAGGAAGGTCCTGTGAATGGCCCAGCAGTTGTGTTGAATGGGAGGCTGGGGGTTGGCTGGACACACGTATGACCAGTGCAAGAGGCTTTCTTGTCCCATAGGTTGGGGCTTGGGCCTGACAGACTGCGTGAGGCCACCACCAGCAGCCTTGCTTCCAGGGACAGCCCCCACACCACAACTTCATGGCTGCCCCTGTAACTGTGGTCTCTGTGCCACTCTTTGTCCACCCTGTTCAGGGACATGCCGAAACTGGAGGCCTCTGCTCTGCCCATTTAGCAAGCAAGAGACCCAGAGCCCTGTTGGGAGCAGGTAATGCAGATGCTCCTCTAAGCCATGTGCATCAGTAAGATGGGGTCAAGGCCTGGTCCGCATGAAAGGCTGCTGGTTCAAGCCACCCAACAGTACCCAGAAGGCCCAGCCCAGGCATTCAGTTTCCTTAAAGATGACAGCTACAGGTCTGCCCAAAACATACACAAACCTCAAGCATATGTGTGAGTCAACATCTGAGACCTGGGAAGATGCTCTGTACACGTGCTTAGGGCATGCAAAATAACTATATCTTCTCACCCCAGTAACAATAGCAAAATTCAACAGAGTAGCAAACAACAAATGTTGGCGAGGTTGTGGAGAAACTGGAATCCTTATTCACTGTTGGTGGGAGTGTAAAACAGTGTAACTACTATGGAAAGTAGTATGGCACTTTCTCAAAAAGTTGGAAATAGAAATATCATTTGACCCAGCAATTCCACTACTGGGAATATATCCTAAGGAGACCAAAACTGCCACCCAACCAGATATATGCACACCCATGTTTATTGCTGCTTTGTTCACAACAGCAAAGAGTTGGAAACAACCCAAGTGCCCATCAACAAACTAATGGATAGAGAAGCTGTGGTATATTCCCACAATGAAATAGTATACAGCACTAAAAAAACAAGGAACTCATGAAATATATATGAAATAGGTGACCATGGAGGACATTATGTTGAGTGAAATATCTCTGTCACAAAAGGACAAATACTGCATAATGCCACTGTTATAAAACAACAGGACTGACACTGAGGTTGGGGGAAACTGAGAGGAGATAAATGATGTACAATGCACTGAAACAGATGAAGGCGAGAACTGCTTAAAAGGAATATATGATTAGGTATTATTTGCATGATAAGAGTCCAGAATAAGAGATTCATAGTAAAGTGGACTGGGGGTGGGTGGGAGATTGTATAACAATGAAATAATTTTTTTCTTTTTTCAAAGAGAAAAGCTAACTGGGGGAGGGGTGGGCAGGAGTAAAATGTGCAACAATGAATGAAGAGGGAAAAAAGAGTGTAGCACGGTTTCGGGCGTGCTTACAGAAACTAAGCTGCACACACCCCTGGTGCCCTGTCTGTAAGGCCCCGCCCCTCCCACAGGAGGGCTTGGAAGTGACCATACTGAACGCCATAAAGCTCATCTATGACCACCCTATCCAGTGTGACCTGGAGCCAGTGCTCGGCTGGGTGGCTAAGGTAAGCCCCGGCTGACCACACTGCTCCCAGCAGACGTGGTCATGCAGGCTGACTTTTGGGGAGGCAGGCACTGGCTCATACAGGCTCCTGAGAGCTTGGATGAACCTCTAAATGGACCCCTTCTGAGGCTAAAGAGGGCAAAAGGGCCTAGAGACACGGCTCATAGGAAAGCTGTCCCTCTGGTCCAGCTCACTCCCTGCAGGCTCATCTTAGCTGCTGCCTGCCCAGTCTCCCTCCCCCAGGCACATGAGTACATGAGAATGGGGCTCGGTCTGAGGACCCTAGTGGTCCTTGGAGGTCTGTTCACACTCTGCCCACATCCCTCACTCTGCCCATTCATGCTCCTCACGTCAGAGAGCCAGGGCCAGAAGCCCCTTGATCCGTCACCAACGCCTGGATGTTCTCTGGAGCAGAGGGAGAGTGAAGTCCAGCAACTGATTCCCAAGTGACTCACCAAATGTGCCTGCTACTTCTCAGACTCGGATGTCTGTAAAATTCGGACAAAATCCTGGGGTTACTCACATCTAATTTAAGAAATGGGTGTTTCCAGCCTGCTGCTGAAATGAACAAGACCTGTAAGTTTCCTATGACTGCATCCAGAAAAGTTCAGGCCAATGGTGAGGAGACATCATCCCAGTGAACACGCCCATGCAGCTCCCTGGGGTGGGGGCTGACTTGCTGTCAGAGTGGGAGAGCGGGGCTGGCAGAAAAATGGTTAATCCTGGCCAGGAGGGGAGGGGCCTAGCCCTCAAGGAGCCCAGGGAGGGGCCTAGGCCTCTATAAAACCACTGGGCTGGCGGGGCCAGCAGAGCGACAACAGAGGGAGCAGGACAGGGTGGCCCTCCGTCCGTCCCCAGGTCCCAAGGCTAGACCCCTTTCCTTCTGCTGCTCCCACAATGCTCAAGTACCACCCAAGTGGCTGAGCTCCCGCCTGCCCAGACCTCACCAGGCACTGTGGACGGAGCGCCTGCAGGCCAGCACGGGCGAGTCCCCAGGGCCACCTGAGGCCAGGACCATGAGCCCCTGCTATCTGGGGCCAGCAAGGAGCGGCAATGGGGACAGGCCAGGTAAGACAGCCTTCCCTGGGGCCAGCCATGGTTGTGGGGACTCGGTGCCCTTTGAATGGGGGACCTTCTCGGCGAGGAAGTCAGTGGCTCTGACTTTCTTGGAATGAGCAAGGAGGGGTTTAAGTAAGATATACCCTGCAATACATGCCAAGAGAATACCAGCCTGCCATGTGCTGCCCACTCTCCAGGACAAGTGACCAGGTTGTGTGTCACCCTGCAAGCACTACAGTCCTTCAAGATGGAGCAGCTGGTCAGAGATGTCACCGGGAGGCTTGCTCTCTTGACCTGGACATAAAAGCCATGGGCTCACTGCTGCGCGCTCAGCGCCAGGTCACAGCGACTGCATTGGGTTCCCAGGCTGTACTCTTTATGAGAAGAGCCCGCTCATCTTATCCCAAGGAGTGGCTGCTGGATTTGAACTACCACCCTTTCAATTAACAGTGCAACATGGATCGCGCTGAGCCACCAGGGCAAGGTGATCTAGACGGGCCTGGAGGCTGAGGGCACACCTCTCCACTCGACCCCACAGCGCAGCCTGCAGCGCCTGTCCAGGCCGAGGGCACCACCTGCTTGGGAGAGGACACGGACAGGAGGATCTGGTCCTGAGTCATGCAGTGCAACTCACAGGCACCGCAGGGACCACTCACCTGCTACACTTCCCTCTCAAACTGCCCTCTCAGCCCTTCTGTTTAACACTTAAAGAGGAAAAGGACCCTTCTGAGCTGTTTTATAAAGCAGTGCATTGAGATGCTGAACACAGAGGCTTGGAGACCCAAGGGGAAGCTGGGAACAGGGACGCTCGCTCACTCCCTGGTCCCGAGGGGAGGCCGAATGGGGACGCTGTGGGGACACTGGGAACCACTGCTTGCTCTGGTTCACTGATTGGGAGACCATGAAGAGCCCTGTCAGCGCAGCTCCGCAAGGCCGGTGGACGTCGCCACGAGTATTGTAAAGGAGGTACTGATTTTCAGGCAGGGTCTTTCCTCTGTCTTCTTTCCTCACTTATGTGAGAGCATGACTTTAAAGCAGCTCCAGGCCAGCCTGGCAACACTGCCACAGCTGCCCCCAGCCTCGGAGGTGAAGGAGAAACCACAAGGAGCCCCCGGGGTCGCATGCACGGGACAGACTGTATCCTCCAGCTCCTCCCTGCTGCCCAGCCTCACATGAGGAGTCTGGTTGCAATGACCAGGCTATGACCACAGAAAATGTCTCTAGATATGACCAAGGCCCTGGGTGGAGAGCCCTGTGCTGACTCCACACTATTCTGGGGTGCATGGTTAGAGCCAGGCAGAGGAGCTGTCCATGCTGGGTGTGTGCTGGCCACTTCCTGCTGCCCTCTGCAACCACCGCCTAGAGGGCTCCTCCACACTGATTTTCTTGCCAACTTCTGGTTGAAAACGAAATCAAGCCCACTGTCATTAAATTAATTCTGATCCCTGACTCCCCCCCCCCCCCCGGGATTTCCACAATGGTGAATCTTCAGGGAGGACAGTGCTTGATGTTCTCCCAAAGAGCTGTGGACTAGAACTGCCAACCTTTCTGTTAGTGGTTCTCAGGTACTACACAACAAGGGCTGCTTGGGATTTCCAGAGTACCTACAATGCTCAGGGCTCAGCAGCAGCAGCTGTTCAGACGCCAGATCTGGCCTTAATCACTGTCTCCCAGTCTTCACTAGCTGCGTCCCTCATCCTTCCTCTTCTCGCACACCATGGCGGGCAGCTTCTTTCCAACGCCCAGGCTCCAAGCTGGATTCCCCCAGGAGTGCAGCCAGTTCCCACGAAGGCTCCTGGGTCCCCGTCGTCCACAGAGCTGGGTTTTTCCTTCCCGGCCTGCTTCTCTGCAGCAGCTGACGGGCATGCTGCACTTCCTCTCTGGATAAACAGTACTTTTCCAAACTCTGCATGTCCCACACGTTACTTCACCCGCCTGCTGTTTGGTCTTCTGAGAAGCGTCCTGCATGGGAGACGACGGCTCTCTACACAAGGGTCCTTGGGAAGGAGGGGCTGCTCCACACTGGGTGCCACTGCCTTCTCTCACAGTGCCACCACGCCCAGTCTCCCCTCATCCACATGGCATTTGGGGCCCTAACCCCCTTTCTTTCTTCCTCTCCAGGCCTCCAGACAGTGAGGAAGCCCTGAGGGGCAGCCCCGGCAAGCCAGCAAGGGGTCACTGGGAACCCCCACGTCCAGTTCTTCTACTTTCTGTGGTTCAGGAGCCCAGGTGGCGGCACACGCCTTGAGCAGCACCTTCTTACTCTCCTGGCTGCCAGATCGCTTCCCTTTCAAGGCGTGTCCAGCGGGGGCTGTGGCATGGAGGGCTTGGGCTCCACGCAGGCTGCCCCGAACAGCACGCTGGCAGCCCTGGCCAACCAATCGCGTGACCTGCAGGAGCACCAGCACTATGTCATCGGCCTCTTCCTGTCCTGCCTCTACACCGTCTTCCTCTTCCCCATTGGCTTCGTGGGCAACATCCTCATCCTGGTGGTCAACCTCAGCTTCCGCGAGAAGATGACCATCCCCGACCTGTACTTCATCAACCTGGCGGCCGCCGACCTCATCCTGGTGGCCGACTCGCTCATCGAGGTGTTCAACCTGGACGAGCAGTACTACGACATTGCGGTGCTCTGCACCTTCATGTCGCTCTTCCTGCAGATCAACATGTACAGCAGCATCTTCTTCCTCACATGGATGAGCTTCGACCGCTACGTGGCCCTGGCGCAGGCTATGCGCGCCAGCCTCTTCCGCACCAAGCAGCACGCGCGGCTGAGCTGTGGCCTCATCTGGCTGGCCTCGGCCTCGGCCACGCTCGTGCCCTTCACGGCAGTGCACCTGCAGCACTCGCAGGACGCCTGCTTCTGCTTTGCCGACGTGCGCGAGGTGCAGTGGCTGGAGGTGACCCTGGGCTTCCTCGTGCCCCTGGCCGTCATCGGCCTGTGCTACTCGCTAATTGCGCGCGTGCTGCTGGGCGCACAGCGGCCCCGTGGGCGGCCCCGGCGGCAGAAGGCGCTGCGCATGATCTTCGCGGTTGTACTGGTCTTCTTCATCTGCTGGCTGCCCGAGAACGTCTTCATCTGTGTGCACCTGCTGCAGCGCGCACAGCCGGGAGAGTCCTACTGCAAGCGGTCCTTCCGCCACGCCTACCCGCTCACTGGCCACATCGTCAACTTGGCTGCCTTCTCCAACAGCTGCCTCAACCCACTCATCTACAGCTTCCTTGGGGAGACCTTCCGCGACAAGCTGCGGCTCTATGTGGAGCAGAAAAGCAGCATGCTGGCCCTGGGCCGCTTCTGCCACGCTGCCCTCAAGTCGGTGGTTCCAGACAGCGCAGAGCCATCAGACGTCAAGTTCAGCAGTGCGGTGTGAGGCCGGGGCTGATGGGGACGTGCGCACACACAGACATATTGCCCTCAAGTCTGTCGTCATGATCAGCGTAGAGTCAGCTGGCTCCTCTGAGAACACATGGGACGGGCACTTTCTGGGGCCACCTGGTCCAAGCACCCGCTCAGCATCTTGCAGGACCTGACTCAGGGCCATGTGGTCAGTCACCCTGGTCACTGCACTGCCCTTCCACGCCCAGAAACGCTCCTTGCCAAGGAAGGGTCACCAGGGACGTCTACTGACTCCCTGAGTAGTACATACTGCCCACCAGCCAAGACCTGGGGAGAGGGGTATCTGGGGGTGAAGCCAGTGTCTCGAGGGAAGAGGGTGGGGGGTGAGCGGGTACAAATGCACACCCGGTGTCTCCACGTGTCCTGGTGCCTCACCATACATGTTCTGGTGAGTGTACCAACAATTAAAGGCCGCAGCCCTCACTCTGCACTTGGCCAGTCTCACGTCTCTGACGTGGTCGCAGGCTGCATCCCTGCGGCTCCAACTTCACTCACTCGCAGGCCCTTCCCACTCTTCAGTCTTGTCTGGCTGGTCATGGCTGACTAGGAAATGACACAACAGACCTAACTGAGTGAAAAAGAATGAAAGCCAGAGTGGAGGCAGCGACAGGCTGAGACCCTGGGAAGGAAGAAGAGTGGTGGGTCCTGCCAGGAGTACCCAGACCAGCCTCCACAGCACTTTCCAGCTCTGTGGGAAGAGATCTGGTTGCTATGCAACACACACACACAGAGCCCCACAGGGAGATGCCATCCTCATAGGCTGTGACCCCATTACTGCTCCAGCTCATCCAAGCTTCTAGAAGGTCAGGCCTTCCCGGGTCCCTTCCTCTCAGCCATGCCTGAACTGCTTTGAAGTCCTACTTCGGGGTCAGCATGGAGAATGGTGGGGTTCTCTAGTCAGAGGGTCTCCTCCTGCTCCCCATGTGCACTACAGCCCTGTGGCTAAAGGTGTGGGGACGGCTCATGTACCTGTCCCACAGAGACGGCAGTGGAGGGCCCCCATCTGAGTGACCGCTGAGCAGAGCCCCAGGGCACAGGGAGGGAGGGGGCCCCCCCATCTGGATGGGTCCGGGAGGGACACAATAGCAGAGTCTAGACTCCCAAGTTCCAGGGTCCCCTGAAGCTCGGTTCTCTCTTGGGGATCCTGGGGTTTCTGGCTGCCCACAGGCACCATCTTGTCCAGAGATGGACACCATTCTATCTCAGACACAGGGGATAGACCCTGGACTGCACAATGGGACTCCCTTCTGGAAAGTTGTTTGGCAAGCAGAAGCCACGGTGTCCTGTAGAATACTCTGCTCACAAGCCCTGGTCATGACGGCTGTGTTCCTAACTCTGCTGGCCTCAGGGACCACTCATGCAGCCTTGTAGGTGGGCAGGCTGACTCTGTGAAAGGGCCTGGTGGCTCGCTGGGATGTGACCAGGACGGACAGACAAGCAGAAGCCCCTCGTCAAGGAGACAGGCACCTGTTTTCAGCTTTGCTCTCGGCTGTGGCTGTTTCCGACTAAACCTACCCAGGTCTAGTTTGAGTTCAGCACTACCCGGTGCTGAGCTTGGTTTCTTTATAAATAAATCCACTGAAAGAGATGAAGCGATTGAGAGAAGATGTCTGAGGAGACACTGTCATGACTACGCCTGGACTGCATCCCAGACACTGGCCTCTACCGTGAGACCCGTCCTGAGACAGTCTGTCGTGGTCTTGTCCTTGGACGGGGAGTTGGACTGTGTGTTTAGAAAGCAGGTCTTCTGCCAAGTTCAGGGTTATATAAAGACAAACACTGACTTGGGAGGACAGTGCTTTTTGAGATTAGCACCTGGGGTGATGGGTCGACGGGGCACATGTACTGTGTGCCCCAGCTTCCTCTTCGAAATACATCAGTCAAGAACAACTGGAAGGTGGAGGAGTCCCGTGGGGGTGACAGTGGCATTACTGTCAGTCTCAGGATGGGACACCCACGTTCACCAAGGAGGTGAACTGCTCAGTATGACGCTGCCTTGACCGCACCCAAGCTCCAGCTGAGCCAAGAGCCAGCAGCAGACAGTGGCCTCAAGGCGGAAGGATGAGTGGCCAGCCCCGTGCTTGTCTGCACAGTGGTGTGGTCACGTGGGGTTGCAGTCACAGGTGTGATGGTCATGTGGTGTGATGGTCATGGCAGACGGGCTGTCCATGGCATGGTCTAGAAGGTGGTCATGTGTTGTCGTGGTCATGGTGAACAGGGGTGCTCATGGCATGGTGTAGTGGGTGGACATGTGGGTGCCCACAGCGTGGTCTAGGGGTGCTCACGCGGTGTGATGCTCATGGTGGAAATGTGGGTGCCCATGGCGTGGTCTAGGAGTGGTCATGCAGTGTGATGGTCTTGGCAGACAGGGGTGTGCCCACCGTGTGGTCTAGGAGGTGGTCATGTGATATTGGGGTCATGGCAGACGGGAGTGCCCATGATGAGGTTTAAGGAGTGGTCACACAGTGTTGTGGTCATGGCAGCCAGTGGGTGACGATGGCGTGGTCTATGGGGTGATCACATGTTGCTGTGGTGATGGTAGCCAGGGGCTGCCCTTGGAGCAGTCTGAGGTCTGGTGGTCACATTGGCTGCAGGGCAACTGGGCTTCACACTGGAGTGGTCTCAGGAGTGGCCTGGCCTGGCCCTGTGAGTGACACGTGGAGGTGCTGGAGCCCAGGCAGCTTGTCTGTGAGACGCGTGCTCCCTACCATACCGATCAGAAACATGGTCAAGCTTCCTCTGGGCCTCCACCTCTACAGCTCTCCCTGCTGGTCCCAGGTCAGGCAGACCAGAGCGCACCTCACCTCCGCCCAGAAGCCAGGCTCCAGGGCCTTCAGGGTCCAGTGAGGTTGCTGCCTGAACCAGTCCCTCCATTACTGCAGCAGGAAGTTGCAAGGGCAAGGGAGGCCCCTGGGTCTACAGCATTTGACCACAGTCCAGGCCCCAGGCCCTCAAAGGCAGGTCTATCTACACCTCTGTGAGCAGGCCCATCCTTGGCAAGAAGGCCCCCAGTTCTGGTCCCCTGGAGGTCTCAACAGGACAGAGGCTGTCCCATCCTGGTCCCCTCAAGGTCTCAAGGAGGACAGAGCCTGCCTGAGTCCCCTTTGGATCCTGAAGTCCATTAGAATAAAGGAGTGGAACCCAGGACTCAGGGGACCCAGGGTCTGTGACATGACTACACGCCCTCCTGGACATGCTCCTTGGAAAGCCTAATTGAATTCTTCGGGGCAGGAACTCCCAGAGATAACATCAAGGCATTTTAATTGCTTGGTTGTTTCCTGGTAACCCAGCTCTCCTTGCACAAACACTTGGTAGCTCCACAGTCAGCGGAGCCCAGAGGACACGAGAATAGCCACCATCCCCTTCCTCACGCTAATCATTAACCCCTGATCACACAGGGTTGCAGGGCCTTGCCCCTCCTGGTGGTGAGGACAGATGTTAGCCACCTCCTCTATGTGTACCTGGTGAGAGTGTACCTGTGTGCCTGTATCTGTTTGTCTACGTACCTGTGTATATTTGCATGCATGACTGCCTGTGTGTGTACTGCATGCACGTGTACCCGTGTGCACCTGTGGGTGAGTAGACATGGGGCAGCAGGTGGGTCTGAGGGAAGGCACTGACTGTTAACCCGAGACTTCTGGAGCAAGTGTGCATCTGTGAGTGTATCTGCTGCCCACATCCAAGGTCAGTGTGTGGGGCTCCACCAGGGGACATTGTAAGCGGCATGGGACAGGAGCCTTGTCACTGTGCAGTCCATGCCTGGGATTACAATTAGCATCTCTGGGCAGGGAAATGGACACTAGGTCCCACATGTTATGCTCCCTAGAGGACACTGCTTAGAATCCACAGAGCAGGGAAGTGGACACCTTGCCCCCAGGTGTGGTGTGATGCCCTGTCCTGTTTCTGGTGCACAGCCTGACTCCCAAGAGGCAGCACCAGAAGGCCCAACAGTGGGCAGGGAGACTCAGCTGAAGGCCCTGTAGGAGAGAACAAAGTGCAGAGCAGGCTCTCCAGACTGGAGGCCAAGAGCCCTGGGATGCAGGGGTTAAGTGCTCGGCTGCACATTCTAAGGTCACTCAGTGGGTCAAACCCACCAGCTGCTCTGCTGGAGAGAGGCCTGGCTGTCTGCTCCCACAGAGACTTCAGCCCAGGGTAGTTGTTCAGGCATCCAAAAAGATGGGATGGTACCCATGGCACAGAGATGGAAGTGGGTCAGCCTAGAGAGATGTGCTACGAGTGGGAATGCCACACGGCTATCCTGGGTCAAGAGACCAGACAGGAACGTCTGGACAGCCCTGTGTGCTGTCAGGTTCTAGCCTTTGTCAGAAGCACTGCAGTCACCCAGAAGCCTGTGTTCGTTCTGAGAAACAGAGGCCTGCAGAGGCAAGAGCCACCAACCTGCAGCCATTCTCAGATGGCCCAGGGAGGGGACAGCTCTGTGGTGTAAGCACTGCTTAACACCCTCTGATGGCACATGTCTGTGATCTTGCAAAAGGCATTTAAGGAAAGCAGCTCACATTCTGCCCACTTTTCCTGAAAGGCTTTGAAGACTCTGACCCTAGACTCTTGCAGCACTGGCCCATGGGTGGACAAAGGCAGGTGAGGCAGAGGCCATGGCTGTGGGTGCTCCAGAGCTGTGTCCAGCAGCAGGTGGTGAAATGATGGGGAGGGCTGGACAGTGCAGCTCATTCCCTACTCTTGTCCTCTCACTCCCACCAACAGCCCCCGTTCTTGCAGCCTCTGCAAACAGCCTTGAGGATGGTCAGAAGCTGGCTTCCTAGTGGAGTGGACTTGGGGGGAGGGACTGTAAAACAATGAAATAATTTTTCTTTTACTTTTCAAAGAGAAGAGCAAACTGGGGGTGGGTAGGGGGGAGGTAGGGAGAAAAGTGCAACAATGAAGAATGGAAATCCAAAGTCTCTGTAAATTTTCATGAAAATTAATAATAATTAAAAAAAAAAAGCAACTGGCTTC